GTTCACTGCTGATGCCACCCTTCATGGAGCTAGGTTTGCCACCAAAGCTATTGCTACTTCAGTGGCTGCCAGACGCATGTGCTGGTTGTGCAATTGGCACGTTGATGGTAGAAGGAAGTGGAAGCTAGCTTCAACTCCCGTTCAAGGAGACAAACTCTTTGGGGAAGCCTTGGAACTATTCCTGGTTGAAACCAAGGATAAAAGGAAAGTGCTTCCATCCCTTTTCAAGAGAACAGAACATCGTCCTGCTCCATACTTCAAGCGCTCTTCGTTCAGGGGTGAATCTAGTTCCAGCTTCCAGCGTTCAGCTAAGGCCTCTTACCAATGTCTTGAGCCTCCTCCAGATCATTCAGGCAAGGGCAGACAGACAGCAGTTCTCAGCCAAATGGCCCTTTCAAGGAGGAGGAAGTCGCCTGTACCGTTGCCTATGCTAGCATTGCCCACTCTTTCCCCATTGGAGATTGATTAGCTTGGTTTGCCGACAAATGGAGAGAGATAACTCCTGGTGCCTGGGTGTTAAGCACTGTAAGATCAGGTCTTTCACTTGAGTTCTACTCCACTCCTCCGAGGTTTTTCATCTCCTGCCCAGTTTCTAAGGATTCAGGGAGAAGGGGGCTTATGGAGTCAGCTATCCAGCACCTGCTGGAACTCAGAGCCATCTAAAAGGTCCCACTGGACCAACAGGGGACGGGGTTTTACTCCAGAATCTTTGTTATCCCCAAGGTCTTGGGGGGGGGGGAGTGGAGAACAATTCTTGACTTGAAAAGACTCAATAAGTTCATTGTTTACAGGCATTTTAAAATGCATTCCCTCCAGACCGTTCCGGAAAGCGTTAGGCAGGGGGACTTCCTCACATCCATTGATTTGATGGACGCTTACTTACATATTCCTATCTGTCTTTCCCATAGGAAGTTCTTAAGGTTTTGTTATCGGGGCAGCACTATCAGTATAGGGCTCTCCCCTTTGGGTTATCTTCCGCCCCCTTTCACCAAAGTTTTGGCTTCCCCAGTAGCGCATCTTCGTTCCTTCCCGGTGTGGCTGCAATGTTATTTAGATGATATTTTGATACTGTCTTCTTTTCAAAGGGCTCAGCAGGACCTGCAGGCCACTATCTTGATGCTGCAGTATCTTGGTTTCTCTATTAACATGAAAAAGAATTAATTCACTCTATCAACTCTTCTGCTTCATTTGGGGGCCATCATTGACACAGGAGTGTGTCAGGTTTTCCTTTCACAGGAAAGGCAGGACAGCCTGCAAGGGTTGGCTAAGAATATACGAAGTAAGAGTTCTACTTCTTTAGCCTCTCTCTCCCAACTTTTGGGTAAGAAGATTTCTTGCATTGATATTGTTTCCTGGGCCAGGCTTCATGCCAGAGCCCTTCAGTGGTTTCTATTGCCTCACCAGAGGGCAGGTAAGAGTCACTCTTTAATAAAGGTGAAGGTGACTAAGCAAGTATTGCTTTCCTTGGTGGCTCTCCAGAGCCATTTCCAAGGGCCAGTCCTTCAAGGTGGAAGACAGGTTCATCCTCACAACTGATGCCACCTTCTCAGGTTGGGGAGCTCACTTGGAGTCCCACATGGCCCAAGGCTTATAGTCTGCTGAGGTTCATAATATTAATTGGTTGGAGCTAAGAGTGGTTCATTTAGCCCTTAGGAAATTTTCGCATCAGGTCTCTGGCTCGCATGTTCTTGTCATGACTGACAATGTAGCCACAAAAGCCCATATTAACAGACAGGGGTGCACCAGGTCCAAATCCCTTATGGCAGAAGCGGAGGCTTTGGGCAGATGGGCAGAGCGTCACCTTCTGTCCATCCAAGCTGAACATATTTCTGGCTCAGATAATGTGCAGGCAGACTGGCTCAGCCGAGCTACCATTGACCACATGGAATGGAGCCTGCATCCTTCGCTCTTTATTCAAATTACTCAGAGATTTGGGCTGCCAGTAGTAGATTTGTTTGCTACTCCTCTCAATGCTCAATTACCCAGATTCTTTACTAGATTTGCCATCCCTGGGGCAGAGGGACCAACGCCTCATGCTGTAGTTGGCTACGGGGTTTGTTATAAGCTTTCCCTTCATTGCCTTTGCTGGCAGCTGTGGTGCACAAAATTTTGATAGAAAAAGCCGAAGTTGTATTAGTGACTCCTTATTGGCCTTGGCACCCTTAGTTTGCTGATTTAATGGGTCTGTCAGTGGCCCAGCCTTGGCAGATTTCTGAAGAGGATGTCTCTCTTCAGGGGTCCCTGAGTCATCCAGAGCCCCAGTGGCTACATTTGACAGTTTGGCGATTGAGTGGGGCATGCCAAAACACACCCATCTCTCCAACAAAGTAATCTGAACCATTCAAGCCTCCAGGAGACCCTCGACCATCCGTATCTATGATGCTACATGGCAAGCTTTTCTAGTTGGTGCTCCAAATCAAACATTCAACCTTTATAGGACTCCGTGGCAAACATTTTGGAATTTTTACAGGCAGGTCTGGATAGAGATGTTTCTCCCAACACCCTTCGCTGTCAGGTGGCGACTTGTGGCAAATTGGAATCCTTAACACATCATCCTACAGTCCATAAATATCTCAGAGGGGCGGCCAACCTTTGCCCTCCAGTGGTACACAGATACCCTATATGGGATCTGTCCAGGGTTTTGCAGTCGCTCACGAAGGCTCCGTTTGAGCCTCTTCGACAAGCTAGTCTGCACTTTCTTACCCTGAAAGTTGCCTTCTTGGTGGCAGTCACTTCAGCCAGAAGAGTATCACAGTTGGTCGCCCTCTCAGTTCACCCTGATCTCTGTATCTTTCACCCTCATTGGGTAGTTGGACCTGGCATTTATCCCTTGTTCCACAGGTCTCAAGACTGGTTCTCCCAGATTTTTGTTCCCATCCAGTTGATGACTTGGAAAAGGCTTGATGCACCTTGGATGTGCGCAGGAATCTGAAGGTATATATAAAAAGGACATCTGAATTCTGTAGGACAGAATCCCTTTTTTGTTCCTTCCAACCTTTCTCGTTGGGAGGAAAAGTGACCCCATCCACAGTCAGCAGTTGGATCAAGGCATGTATAGCCAGGGCTTACTCAAGTCAGTCCCTCCTGGAACCCAGAGGGATTATGGCATGCTCCACTTGCAGTGCTGTGATGACTGCAGCCTGGGCAACGCAGGCATCTGTGGAAGAGGTCTGCAAAGCAGTTACATGGATGTCCCCATCGCCTTTCATCCACTACTACCAGCTGGACACCTTTGCTTCAGCAGATACAGCGTTTGGCAGACAGGTCCTGCAACAGAGCATGGGGACCAGGACCAGTCTTAATCTTTCCTGAGGACAACCCAGCTTTGGTATGTCCCACTCCTGACCTGTCGCAGCCTTACAAGGGAGAATGGGTGTTGGCTTACCTGAACACCTGTTCTTCTTGTAGGCAAGACAGGTCAGCTCCACCCTGGTGGAACTGGTCCTTCGATGGGCCTATGGGAGTGGGGAATCGATAATGGTCTCTTTTGATTTTGTTTTTCTCAGACCTGTCGTGATGACTTTGCAGAAAGCTGGGAGGAACTACCCAGAGTGAGCGGAGCTAGGCTAATAAGCCTTTTAGACAGACTCAGCCCAAGCAGCTAGGACAAGAGCAACACCCACTCCTGACCTGTCTTGCCTACAAGGAGAGCAGGTGTTCAGCCAACACCCATTTCCGCCTTCTGGTGAGCCTCCAGAGTCCAGGGGAATCCATTTTCTCTCTCCCAAAGGTCTGGAGGTTTCCCTGGACCTCTGGGAGGGCGAAAACAGTCTCCCCTGGGCTCTGGAGGCCCATTGGAAGCTGGAAACAGGCCCGTTCAACAACTTTCAGTTTTTTCAGGGCCACTGGGAGGGCCATTTTTCACCTTCCCAAGAGTGGGGAGGCCTTCCCTGGGCCACTGGGAGGGAGAAAACAGCCTCCCCTGGGCTCTGGAGGCCCTCCAGAAGTCTGAAACAGGCCTGTTTCTGGACTTCCAAAAGGCCCATTTCCCCCCCTTCCAGAGCCTCTGCATGGACCCTGCACTTACCTCCTTCACGTGGAGACTCCTGAGAAGGGCGGGGTGGGTGGGGCAACCGGCCGGTAGAAATACCAGTTCACCCGAATCAGTCCGAAGTGGCAGAATCCCACCCCTGAGTACGTGGTTTCTGAGTCCTGGATTTTGTACATTCTTTAAATAGATTTGCTTCAAAAATTATTACATTATGGTGCATTTCTGGGCTAATTAAATGTTATAAACTGACAATCAGGGAAGTTTTCGTAGTCTGTATAAAAATACCTTCCCTTGGGTATGTTAGAGAGTAAGGCTAACCAAAGTAAATAAGACTAACCAAATATTTATTTTTGCAATAAATTTGAATCCCTTCTTATCACATAAACACTGAATGTTAATGAAACTCACATTTGGAAGCTCTGAATCACATTAATATTCTTCACTAAAGGAGCTATGTATGTCAAAATAAAGATATTAGTTTTAAAAAGCACTGGTTAAAAACTGGTTAAAACATAGTAGTGTTATGAGACAAACCAATTAGTTGTGATATTTTCTTATTTCTTTCAAATTTAGCAAGACCAATATTTATAAATAACAATAGTTAGTCAAGAGGTATCACATTTGACAAATAAATTACTTAAATGTATATTCATTTTATTTATTAAAACTGATTGGATGAACTATTCCATGGCTTTTTGTGTATCTGTATTATCAATGGGCATATAGATTGAAGCTTCAGACCAGGAATGTCAAACTCATGATGATGCAGCATTGTCACATGACACATCACAACTTTTTCCCCCCTTTGCTAAATCAGGGATAGGTGAGGCCAGCACGTGATGCGTCTGGCCCACGGGCTGCAAGATATCCCTACTTTAGACACCATTTACTCTTATTTCAAATGTTAAATGTAAGACAATGTTTAAATTAAACTATTAATCTAGAAATATTGTTTCTGGTTCTATAATGCTTCTGAAAGGATTAATTCTTCCTTTGTCACATCTCTTAGTCTACCAAGGATCAGAGATTGGTTTATTCTGGCAGGTTGCTTCCTGATCACCTGCAACTGAAAGATATTCTCAGAAAAGTAAGCTTTACTCAAATTACTGTATTTTAAACAAATCTTTTAGTTAAATCGTGAATTCTAAAAACTGTTAAACTATGTAGTAATTGTCACTATTGTAAATTGGAGCAATTCTAATGTTGTATGATGAACTACAGAATATACTGACTTTGTTTAGAACATGAATAGATTATCTGTTTTAGAAAATTATTACTGTGATAATTACTGTATATTTCTAAGTGTACACATAGATGGGGTTAGCTATTTTATATATCATAAATACAAGTGTTATTGTCGTATTTCCTAACTATTTTATTGCATTGATTAGATTTAATGCTGCTCTAATTCTGAACAATTACAGCCTTTTCTAATAATCTCTCTCTGTAATTATTTATTGATAAAGAGGAGATTAAAATTGCTCACTGTTGTCAACAGCAGTATAAATTTTGGAGGAATAGCAGTGATTCATGTTGGTTCACTGTGACTGATGGAAAAAGAGAAAACCTGTTGACTGCCTGCTCTCCAGAGTTAGGTGGAGGTTGCTATAGGTGGAGCCAAGGGGATTAGTGTTCTACTTATCTTCTCTATTACAGAGATACTGGAACAATCCATATGGGAAATAATATTTCTCATCTTACTGAGAATCACATATGCAGTTTGGTAAAACAGCACAAGGTCATTTCCTGATAATGTAGTGAAGAGCAAAATTTCTAAACATTTTTATTTTAAAAATTGATCAGAAGAAAGTCATAAACAAATTCCAGACATTTATTTAAAATATAGTTTAGGTACCTACCAGTAGATAGGCAGATAGGGAGGTAGGTGGGTAGGTTAGGTAGGTAAATAAAGTGTTTGGATTTTGCTTAAGTCTTTTTTGCTAGAACTAGGGAGTTATAAAGCAACACTGTTCTCAAATAAAGTAACATAGAAAGGACAAAGCATAAATTCATTATGGTTGGAAAGAAGTATTTGTAAATCAGTGTATCTTTTACTGAATCTACATTCCTGTACTCCCTATGATAGAAGTCTGTTGTAGATAAATGGTAATTTATAATTTCTTATAAATTATTCTGAATATTTATTTGAAACTGGATAAAGCAATAGGAAGATTGAGTATAAATTTAGGAACTGGGGTGATCCTGATATTAACATCAATTATTTTTCACATGTTTTTCTGACCCAGAGACTAAAGAACCTCTAAGCTTCATTGTATAGGCAAGTAAGCTGAGTTGTTCTTTGGTATAAGAGTGAAAGTGGAGTTATAGTCATAAACAGATAGCTAAATCTATTTTTCTTGAACACTCAGGAAAATAAATTGGGAATTATGATTTACATAAATAAATATACACAGAGAATCTTTCCTTATTTTATCATTTCCTTTTTTCCTTCCTTCTCTTGCTTTTGCTCACTTGTTCTATGTTTTCTATTTCTGATAAGGAAGAGAGCTAGCCAGCCAAAAGAATACTGTGTGTACTGGCCTATTTATTGCTTTATTGTGTGTGCTGCTACTCTTTGAAAACAAAGACTGGTTGGTTAAGACAGATACTGTAGCTGGAATGGTCATTATAAACCTGTTTACATTTGGTACTCATTGGCTGAATTTACTAGGTCAGGTTAAAACCTAGAAATTGTATTTGCATAATTTATAAGCTTGTGCTTATTTTTTGAATAATAGTTTAATTTGTTCTGAGAATCTAACACATTTTTTATAATCTATACAAATGGAGAAAATGGGTTAATTCAATAATCTGTTCAGTGTGTTGTGCAAACATACCTACTGTACTAATTATATGAACACTCACACTGTGATTGGTATTGCCTGTCAACATAGATTTAATGTGAAAATAGCACTATAAAATACTCTCTTTTATTTTAGCAAGATGAGTATCATATGGTTCATTTAGTATGTTCTTCACGGACACCCCCAAATTCCCCCAAACCTGATACTATTAGAGAAAGTCGTGAGTCTTCAGCATCTAGCAACAGCTTGGTAAGTTATCTTTGTGTGAGAGAGGTAATCATTTAAGTTCTATCAATAAATAAATGCTATTTTAATATATTCATTCCCACTTATAATAGTGATAGTACTGTTGTCAGGAAGGCATTGTATCAACTATTTTGGCCAGTTTAGAGTATTAGTTTACTGATGAATTAAATGAGGTATAATAAAAGGTTTTTAGACTGTTTCTTTTAGAACTATGCTTTCTAAAAATCAAAAATGTACAAGTACTATTCCCCATCCTTCCAAGAATATACACAATTTTTGGAGATGTTTAATAGAGGATAGCAAATCCCTTACGAAGTATTTACAAATGTCTTGGCCAAATCTAGATGGCTCTGTATAGGGTGACATTCATATGGCAATTATATTGTGAGTTCTGGATTCATGATGTTTTCTGATTCATAAACTGCTTATCTTTTATTGATGGAAATATAGTGGTAGAAAAGAAAAAAAAAACCCATAATAAGTACTATTTTAGCCAGAAAAATATTGTTATTTTTTAAAAAAATATGTGATATGCATAAAGATGTTCTGGGGCAAGGTATAAAAATGGTATAAGGTATAAAAATTGGATTACTAATAGGAAGAAGCTAATGTCCAGTATAAAATATTAAACTAGTTTTCATAATATTTTGAACAACCAGTACTGAATGCTTTGCACATCTAATTCAAACTGTTATCTGCATTTTAAGAGTTCAGAACATTTGGGATCAGCATCTCCTTCCCTCTCTCAAGAAACTGTATATACAGCTGTCAGTAATTCTGAAGGTGTGCGACATCGCAACCTTGCACAGACACAAAATAATCAAATGCAAAGCCATCCATTCTCATATATATTACAGGGGTAAGTAAATCATATAAATGATTTTTTCAGAGTTTTGCAGCAATTTCGTGCCGGAAAAATAAATAAACACAGATGGCTAATGGTTCATTTAACATCTTTATAAACATAATAAGTACATTTTACAAACCAGTTGTAGATTTCTCCAACATGGAGCAAACTCTGGCAGAAATAAACAGGTTGCAAGCAACTTCAACAGAAGCAGCAAAACAGAGAGAACTTCCAGTTTCACTTTCCAGGTCAGCTCCCATTGGTTTGTCTGTTACCATGCCTACTCACTGACTCTGTTATCTATTTATTTGCCAGTAAATGAATACTCTGACATTCCTCCCTTCATAACTGGAAGAGAAGAGACATAAATCTAATTAACTTTATATTCTTTCCATGGTGCACTCCACCCAATGGCTTGGTCATTATGTCAGGCAAATTGTCTTCTGAAAAACAATGAAGCAAACTAATCAATTTTCACTTGATGGTTTCTCTTACATTACAATATTTAATATCGACATGCTTGCTTCTACTCTTTACTCTGTCACCTGTAGCCATTTTAATGCGTTATCTTCATAGACTAAGACAGGCTCCATTACCTTTATATGTAAATCCTGTAACAATTGTACCAAGTTATCTCTGAACAGAGTTCAAAGCAATAAATTCTGCTTCTGCAGAAGAAATGGCTACAGTTGTTTGCTTTCTGGACTTCCAATCAATTAAAACCTCTCCAAACAAATATCACAATCCCAGAATTGGTCTTTCTGATTTTTATATCATTTGCATAATCACTATCAACATAGCATTTCAATTTTAATTCTTCAGAGACCTATATTTGAAGACCTCAATTCCCAGTTCCCTTCAAATACCTGAGAATCCTTTTTACACCAATGCAATGCAATTGTGTTGGTGCAGCAGTAAAGCGACTCAAAATGCTTACTGCAGAAGCTATGTCTGGTCTGAACCACTGTGGCAGATAGAATAGGCTCCCTATTGCTGATTGATATATCTCCTGATCACAGGCTTCACTTTCATCCTCACCCAAATTGTTATGAAAATCTATACTCATGGCGTTTTATGTGTCTCTACACCGAGATAATTTTTATTTCTCCTAAATTCTTTAATTCAAATTTCTTCTTCAAATTATTTGCAAATTCATTTACTTGTGATTCATCCTTTGCAATGAAGCAAAGACCATCCACAATTGCTAAAAGTTGTCAATCCTCACCTTTTAACTTTCCAGTGTATATTCAGCTATCAGCTTTTTTAACTCTTGAACCCAGGACCTTTCAATGTCTAAACAGATATTCCAATTCCTGGCTGACTGCTTCAGCCCATAAATGGCCTTGTTCAATTTATATACTGGGTTGGGCTTTTTATTTTCATGCCCTGGTACTTGAACCATGTAAATTTCTTTCTCTAATTCTGCATTGAGAAATGCAGTGGTTATGCCAAAATGCCAAATTTTATGGCCACATGCCGCTGCCAATGCTAGTGCCAGCCTGATGTTTTCACTCTTTACAGTTGGTCACCTCATCATAGTGCACATTTTTCATCTGTGAAAACCCCTTTTCTATCTTGTTTTATATTATACCTTCTTATTGGGTAGTACTTTTTTCTTGTATACCCACTTGCATCCTACAGCTTTGCTACAGCTTTTACACTGTGGCAAAGTCATAGATGTGAACACTTCATGTTCTCCTATGAATTTCATTTCCTTGTCCATGGCTTCTTTCCACTTTACTTGTTCAATTTTAAATAATGCCAATACTTCTTTGTAGTTCCTTGGCTCAAACCATATATTACATACTTTAACTTTACTAGTAGGTATCTGTCAGGTGGAATTACCTTGTTCTATTGTTGTGACCTGCGTGGGACTGACTGCTTCTGTGTCTCAACCCACTCTTGCTTCATATCTTATTCAGCTTCTCCTCCCTGAATGCTGACACCATCACTAATTGAGTTACCATCACTAAGTGAGTTACCATCACTAAGTGGATCACTGTCACTAAGTGGCTCATTCTACAAATTTGCATCAATTCTGTTCCAGTTTTGCTCTGCAAAGCTTGCAGACCTTGAAAATATGATTCTTTTGCTCCCATCTCTAAAGCGGTAACTTTTTGAGCCTGGCTCATAGCCCACAAACCTGAGCTTTCTAGCCTTTGGTTGCCCCTTCTAATTGCTTTTGAAATATGCACCCACGCATTGCTTCCACACTCTCTTAAATGTGCTAGAGATGGTTTTCTCCCATATAGGATATGCATATGGAGTATCATTAATGGAGGAACTCCACAACCTATTAATTAAATAATTAGCAGTCAATATATGGCTTCACCCCAGTATGACCTGCTTAGATCGGAATCCTCTAGCAGTGAGTCCTTCATGGTTTATAAGACTCCATTCTGTCTCTCAGCAACACCATTCTCAGCTGCTGTGTAAGGATTTGTGCATCTGTATTTTATTCCTAACTGTGCCAACCACTGTTGAAAACTTGTTGACATGAATTCTGAACCTCTGTCAGTTTGCAACTGACATAGCTGTTGTTTATACCTTCTTTCTACAAAGCTTACCCATTGCTTGAATTTCTGTAGCACTTCTGTTTTACTCTTTAGTGAACAGCAGAACTCAAACCTGCTATAATCATCTACAATGACTAGCACATAGTTAGCTCTTCCCAAATTGGCTTGCATTGGGCCCACCAAATCTGCATGTACCAGTTCTAGAGTTCTTGTTGTCTGCCTTGTGCTACTCTTGCTTACTGGCAATGCCTTGGACTTTGATGTTTTGCATACTGCACAATCCAAATATGCCTTACATCCCTTTACATGTAATCCTTCTGCATACTGGTCCATCTTTTGAACAACTTTAAAGCTGGCATGACCAAGCTTTCTCTGCAAAAGATGAACACATGAATCATATTTTGCAACATTGCCAAATGTTTGTGCACATTGAACTTTTGTCCCTGTAACATTATAAAGGTTATCATGCTTTATGCCCTTTTCACAAAAAATTCCATTTTTCTTTATAAGACACTGCCCATTTACAAATGTGGTCTCAAATCCTTGCTTGTCTAAACTAGAGACACTCAGCAAATTATGTTCCATTTCTGGCATACATAAAACATTATTAAACCTTGTTTCCAAATATGGAATTTGCATACTGCCTCTTCCAATGACTTTGGCCTTCTTGCCATTTGCCAAGGCTACTGTGTCTCCTGCATCTGCATCCATCCTGTAAAACAATTTAGCATTATTAATAGTTTGACTAGTCCCACTGTCTATTAGCCATTCATTGATCTCTCCTGCAAGAACTGACTTTTGCTATTGCAATTTGCCCGTCAACTTGTCCTTGCAGCAAACAGTATGTCTTTAAATGAGTCTTTAAATGAGATCGTCTACTACTCTTCTGGTCTCTGGAGACAGCCTGGCTGTGGAAATTTCCATTGCTCCTCTTGTGCCCCCTCCTCAGGAATTTTTTCTCCTGTGTTTTTTCTATAATGGCATTTCTGCTCTTCCGCTATCAGACACGCTTTCAGAGCTTCCAGACTCAATTCCTGTTCTGGTTTTCATTCAAACACTGCAGAAACAATGTCCCACATTTCATCTAGGCTGTTCAAAACCAGTAGTACTTTCTGAGTTTCCGGAATCCTCATCCCACGTTGTTCTAATACCACAAACAAAGTTTGCATATGAACAAAATGCTGTTCCACTGAATCTCCTGGCTGCAAATGAGCTCTATATGACTTTCTTGATAATTGTACGATGTTGCATGCAGATATACTCACATGAACAGTCCTCAATTTATCCCAGACTTCCTTTGCAGTCTTTAAATCAGCTACATTGATAAACTGATCATCTTCTAAACTTAAGATGATATAAGCAAGTGCTCTATCGTGCAGTTTCTGATCTGCAGCATTCAATGGTGTCTGGGGTGGTTTTTCAACAATATTCCAAAGCTCTTTAGCCTTCAGAAAACATTCCATCTTTGCAGCCCAAATAATATAGTTCTTCTGACCAAAACAGGATAGAGAGCTCTCTTTAATTTTTTTAGTCATCCTGCAAAGCCTTGTTTCTTACTTTTAACACAGACAGTCTCTCAGCTTTAATTACAATTCAGTCTTTTTCTGTCCTTCTGGGCACATAGCCTATTCAGAGCTTTGCAGTAATTTAGCACGAGGAAAATAAACACAAATGGCTGATGCTTCATTTAACATCTTTATAAACATAATAAGTAAATTTAACAAACCAGTTGTAGATTTCTCCAACATGGAGCAAATTCAGACAGAAATAAACATGTTGCAAGCAGCTTCAACAGCAAAACAGAGAGAATTTCCAGTTTCACTTTCCAGGTCAGCTCCCATTGGCTGGTCTGTTACCATGCCTACTCACTGACTCTGTTAACTATGTATCTGCCAGTAAGTGTATACTCTGACACTCCTCCCTTCATAACAGAAAGAGACATACTCTGACCTGATTTGAATCTTAGAGTTTTACTCAGCATTTTATAGTATAAGCAATATAATTCACAGAATACTGACAATGTGTTAAAAATAGTAAAAAATAAAAAATGATGAGAAAAAAATCCTTGACTAAAATGTGTTAATGTACAATAACAGTATTCACTGTGTCTCTGTCTTTCTATCCTTGCAAACTATTCTTCCTTAATGTCTACATCAAACAGAGTCTTTTGTACCAATAGAGCAGAGTATTTGTAGCTCAAGGTTAGATTTGGAGTCCATAGTGCTCTTTGAGCTTGATAGTTGTCTTGCAGACATTTTTCAGACTTCTCCCCTCCCTTACTTTAACCACAACTTGTTTTCCTTTTACTATGTACATTTTTCTTTCATATTATTTGTTTTGCTACTTGATCCTCCTCCTTTCTATCTATAAGATCAATTTATCTCAAGCACAGATAATTTTCAGTCTGCACTCCTTCAAAATCAATTAGTTCTATATATTATATCTCTTGTCAATCATGCCCACTTCTATTTCCACTCCATGCAAATACTGTTTCTC